GACTCCCAAAAGAAAATCACTGAGACATATCATAATCAAGCTCTCCAAAATCAAAGATAAGGAGACACTCCTGAAAGCAGCTAGGGAAAACAGAAGTGTCACATACAAAGGCAAACAAGTCAGATTAAGCTCAGATCTCTCAGCAGAAACCATGCAAGCAAGAAGGCAATGGGGTAGACATATATAAAACCCTGAAAGAAAAAAATTGCCAACCAAGAATCATTTATCCAGAAAAGCTATCAATCAAATACGACAGTGTAATAAAGTCACTATGAGTTGGTACTAACTTGATGGCACCTAACAACAACAACAATCTTTATAGGAGCAGATTGCCAGGTTTTTTCTTCCAAGGAACAGCTGGTGGGTCCAAGTTATCCCTTTAGGTGAATATCTAGCGCTTCTCCATTGGGCCACCATACTGTTTCCTGAGCAGTCACCACTATCATTTCATGTAGTCTGTAAGAATTTAATTCTCTCAAGTAAACATCTCTCTGGGTAAGTGTAGCCATCTGCATTCAGTGTGTGTGTTGGGGTAGGGGTGGGAGGGAAGGGGTAATGAGGAACCAAGACTCTTAGAGATGGGAATTGGCCTGGGTTACACCAATGCCAGTGGCAGAGATGGGACTCAAACCTGGGCCAGGTTGAATTCAGAGCCTCTCCTCTGCTCTATAGACTCCTAAGAGTGTTATGGTGAGAGGTATCAAGTCAAGAGATCATGATTGGGGTCAGTCACTAGGGTTCTACACTGTTGGATGGGCCATGTCCAGGCTCAAGGAATGACACAGCACTGTTGGTGGACAGTGACTCCTTGAAATCCACAGGAATGTTTGCTTGGGCCAAGATCTATCATTCAGAGGCTATGTCAGTAGAGGCAGTGGCCAGAAGTGGAAGGTGAAGGGCAATTAATGCCCAGTGCTGATCACATCACACCTGGAGCAGAGCTGGACCCTGTATTTCCATAGGCATGAGGGGCTGTGGTTTACTTGAGCAGTATGGCTGGGTGGGGAATGCCCATGGGTGAACAAATCAACTTTATGATCATCTACTGCCATTGAAATTTTTCTTTATTCTTTCACAAATCATAGATGTTAATTAAGCAAAATGAAATACTTGACAATATCAGTCTTTTCTCTTTATTTTGATGTTGCATATTGGCCCAAGTTTGAGGGGCTTTGTTTTCTTTAGGTGGAGGAGGTATAACCCATACTGAAGGCTCTGATCTTCACCACTAAGTATTTTAAGTTCTCTTCCCTTTCAAAAAATCAAGATTGTATCATCTATGTAAGGCAGGTTGTTAATGAAGCTTCCTCTAATCCTGATGCCACATTCTTCATATAG